TCCCAGGACCCTGGGATCATGACCTGAGCCGAAGGCAGACACTTAACTGAGCCACCCAGGCGCCCCTATAATGGTTTTTTAAAAAAACATTTTAAAAAGTGAAACTTGTGGCCCCCCAAAAAATGAACAAGTAAAAAAAAATAAATATTTTTTCCTGAGAACTTCATGGGTGCTTGACCCTGGACTGGGTAGTTTGGGGGAAACAACTGCTCACCATGACAGCCCTGCCTTATACAACCCAGCGGGGGACAGACATTAACTGTATAATCACAGAACACGAGAAAGGATTGGAAGGGATCCCTGAGGCTGTGACAGGTTCTCCCACTCTGCTCCCCTCCTGCCCCATTGGCCTTGCTGTTCCTCCAACAGTGAAACCTACTACCACCCCAGGGCCTTTGCACTTGCTGTTCCCTTTGCTGAATTACTCTTCCCTAGAGACTCACATGGATGCCTCATGGTTCCAGTGGCATCCCCTGACGGTGGTCTTCCCTGGCCCCACTGAGTAAAATTGTGCCCACAACCCCTCCAGCCATTTCTCCCTATCCCCTTTCTCCAAATACACTTTTTCTCCATCTTCCTGAAGTTTGTTTTTTTTTTTTTAAGATTTTATTTATTTTATTTTAGAACGCAAAGTACTAGCTTTGTGCCTGGCGCTCAGAAATTCTCAGTCTGTGCTAACTCTTTGTAGTGTAGTTCTTAGATAAGTGAGATCCTGTCTCATCTTAACACCGACTCATTTTAGGGATAAGGAAACAGAGGCTCAGGGTGGTGAAGTCACCAGCCCGAGGCTGGACAGTGAACAAACGACGGAACAAGACTCACATCTGCCTCTAGTTATTCGCACACACACGGAACGGTTTCCCTGCTCTGGCCCCAATTCCCAGGACCCTAACCATCTTTTTGGCATTCCTCAGATCTTGGCTCAAATATCACCTCCTCTGGGAAGCCTTCCAAGATGGCCAGCCCATATCTGGTCCTCCTGTTGTTTTAGTGCTTCCGTCCAGTTTTAGCATTTGGTCTTCTTCCCTCTCAGCAGAATTCACACTTGTAATTTGTGTTTCTTTCCCTACCCCCCTGATGGGAGCCCTGCAAGAGGAGAGCCCGGGCCTGTTTCTGTCATCACTATGTCCCAGCACTGCCTAACACAAGGGCCCAGCGCAGAGGAACCACTCAATCTCCATGTGCTCATTCACTCAAAATTTTATAAGAACCTCCCTCTCCCAGGCATATATCCGAAAGAACTGAAGACAGGTGTTCAAACAAAAACTTATACGCAAACGTCCGAATGCTCGTAGCAATACTTTATGAGAGCCAAAAGTTGGAAACCACCCAAATGTCCACCAATTTACGAATGGATAAACAAATGAGATATCCATACAATGGAGTATCATCCCGCCATAAGAAGGAATGAAGCACTGATACGTACTATCACGTGGATGATTCCTGAAAACATTAAGCTAAGTGAAAGAAGCTAGCCACGCAAGGCCACATAGTGTAGGATGCCATTTATATGAAATGTCCAGGAGAGGCAAATCCACAGACAGAAACAGATTAGTGGTTGCCAGCGGTTAGAGGAGGGAAGAAAACAGAGTGAGTGCTTATATAGCATAATGGGGTATGAGGTTTCTTTCTGGGGTGATGAAAATGTTCTGGAACTAGGTAGTTGTGGTGGCACAACGTTGTGAGTGTACTAAGTGCCACTGAATTGTACACTTTATAATGGTTGTTTATTTTTTATTTTTTTAATTTTATTTTATTTTTATTTT